ACCCACACCCACATCCACACCCATACCCACACCCACACCCACATCCACACCCATACCCACACCCACACCCACATCCACATCCACATCCACACGCACCCACATCCACACTCACCAACACCAACACCCACCCACAGTTTTGAAAGACTATTGAAGTAGAAGGTTTTTTAGACACCCTCATTTCTTATGAATATATTTATTCATATGAACAGATTAATATCATTCGAAATAAACAAAAAAAGATGCATTATTATTCGTATGTTATATCACAACTAATATTTCTACGTTCAACTTCGATTAAATAAAATAATTGAGCTTGATTTCTATCGTTTGTACATGAACATAATTGTGAAAAATGATCTTTAACATAGTAATCACCAGTTGATAAACGTGATTGAAATATAATTATTGAATTTGTTTGAATACATGTTGATAGATTATCAATTTGAATGATTTTTAAATAACGATTAACATGTTCTTTACCATATTTCATTTGAAATAATTTTTCATTTGATAAATAAAATTCCGGATTAGTACCATCGATTAATAAAATATTTTGTTCAGATCTTAAACATCGATGTCGACGTGGTGTACCATTATTTGTAAGAATAAATAATGAACCTGTGTCATTTATTGATGTACCTATTCGTATTTCACGATCAATAATAATTACTGGTAAATTTGTATCAACAGTAAAAAATTTTACATAAGTTAAAACACCTGATTGTCTTTGTGACGACCATTGTTGTTTACTTTGATTAAAAAACCCAATAACTGGATAATGATCAGAAAGTTCTAATAAAGGAATATTTCTCGTATCATAAAATAAATGATTTCTTCCAAGTAAATGCCATTGTTTCGATGCCATTCTATCCGTAATAAGATTATACCAAAGAGAATCTTTCGGTGTATGATCTTTATGTAAAAAAATATAATCTAATTGTTGACTACTATGTCTAGCATTAGTCATAGCATTATATTTACTATCCCAACTACATTCTATACTAGAAGAATGTAAATATTGTGGATGAACATTTAAAATCCGAAGCATTGTTTCATATTGTTTCGTATTAAATTTATTAATATTAAAATCACCAAGAATAAAAACTAATTCATTTTGAGAAATATTTCTTGATTGTATAAAATTACTTAATTCAAACATTTGTTTTTCACGTATTTTATCTTCACCATATAAATAACAACCACGATAATCATTTGGTTGTAAATGTGTACCAAATACATGTATAGGATATTTATTTTGACTATATAAAATTTTTGCATATACAAAACCAGTTCGAACAAACATATGTGCACTACATGCATGTTTAAAAAAATATTCTATTGCATAAACAATTGGCCATTTACTTAAAATATTAACACCACCACTAACAAATTTTAATGAATTACTACCTATATGATTATTCCATATTTCATTCCATTGATTTTTATCATCTTCATCTCCAAGTACTGGTGTACTATATGGATATGTTTCACTTAATGAATCTAATAGAATTTCACTTGGTTTTGTTTGCATTACTTCTTGTAAACAAAGTATATCACTTGTACGAAGAAATTTTGCTTTTGTTAATAAATGAGCACGAGTTATTTGATCACGTTCAAATACTAATATACTTGGTAGAAGCATTACATTATAGCTCATTAATGTGATTTGATAATGATCATTATTAGCTTGACAAACGATTAAAATCGCAAGTAAACACAATTGTTTCATATTTGAAAATGATGAAATAAGAAAACAAAAAAAAACACGATCTTTTTCTTATCATTTGACATTTCAACTTAAAACAATAAAGATTAATATTGATAGAACGAATATTTTTATTCAATAACAACATCATAGTATTTTGTATGATTAATCTAGAAGAAATACATTACAGTTGATTATTACTATTGTAATATATTCTATGAGGATACTGATGCGATTATCAGATCAATAAATGGAGATTAGAGTCTTTTATTTAATTTGTTTGCAAATACTATATTTATATTCATGTAGCTTCTAAATGTAACATAAAGAGACGTTGTTTATTGTTCAAATCACAGATAAGAATACGTTCAAAAGCAAAACAAGTCTGATCCATTAAAGATATCAATATATCATTGATTACACATTTAAGATGAATCTCAACTATTGAATATATAAGTATTTATGTTTTAAAACTAAAGATATTTATCAATATGATCGTGAATGATATACAATAAAAAAAGAAGAAGAAGTATTCTTGTCTAATCGAATAGATATTTTCATATGGACAATGTAAAGGAGAGAAATCATTTAAACAATAATCCCATTTTTGTTTGTCATTTATATCTATACATAAATACATTCACTCATTGATCTATTATCACGTACTCAATCTTTCATTTGTGATCAAGTGCACATGTCACATATATATCATCCGTTTCTTTTTTTTTTGTATTCATCTTTATAGCGTACTCTCGATCATCACGCTTCCTCTGTTCATACTCAGAAGACAAAAGAAAAAAATTACGCAAGACCCATCGATTTGACCGGATGGTCATAGCGTTCGTATGTGTATATGTTTGCATCACCTTTGTATGTATACAAATGTACGTATAGATATATATATATATATATATAAATATATCTTCTCTGTGTCATTTTACTCGTCTTCTTCACATAAAAAAAA